ATAAAATGCCAATGTCATTAGTATTTTTACCAATTCTGAAAATTTCAAGTGAAAATAGCATATATTAACATTCAAATGACATAAACAAAAAGTTATGATGAACTTCCTACCCCAAAATTAACAATCTGAAGCATCGATATGAATGCCAAAAAAGGGATAAATCCATTATTACAGAAGATTCAAATACTACCAAATTTGTTTAGTTTTTGTCTACACTTATATTTTGCAGTGACATTCTGTTCCAATCACTTTTTATCCAAAATGGTGTATGATATGTTGTCATTAATTTATACATTCAGTACAGAGTACTTTGTCAGTATAAATGGAGCAGGACAAAAACAATGCTGCATCACTGCCTGAGGAACAATAGCAGAACAGTAAGAGGACAAACTCTCCCATTTTGCTTGTTATGCAACAGAAAACTCATCACTAAATGTCCCCAGAGCATATTTGTAGGAATCATGCCAGTTTAATTATCTCTCAACTGTACTAACATAGGTCAACTCACGAGTCCCCCACCTTACTGTGAAACTGTACCTTTCTGTAAGTTAGGCATTAAAATATTGTCACACTTAAAGCCAAATGATTCATTTCTAGTTATTTTGGCACCAGTCCTGAAAATAAAAGGCAACAAACCACAATAAGACCATGGGTGTGTTAGAGACAGACACTGCACTTAAGGGATTAAAGCCCTGATCTACCTGTCCAGCACACCTCATGTTGCTAGTAGGTTTCTGCTCTACAGAATTTCTTAACAAATTATATGTTATTCCTGTTATCTAAGAAGAAGATTTCTTTACTGGCACTACTTCTTTATATACATATGTATATATATAAATGTTTTATTGTGAATTGTGTGATAGTTTACATGGGAGAACATTAGTTTTACATTCATTCTATCATACATCGATCGTTTCATTGGCATCCTCACCCAACCAAAGGGTATACCCACTAGCACTACTTCTTGTCTTACTAAAAAGTAATCAAATAGACATGATTATAGATCAAAAATGTCAGCTTAACAGTTTTACTTCATTAAATTTTGTCAACAGCTAAGAATCAATGTTGTTGTTTCTTACAATTAACATTTCTGAAACTGGGACGCATCTAGCAATTATGGCGTCTTAGATTTGATGGTAATATTTGGATAACTCATTAAGTAAAGCATAAACTAGCTAAACTGGATCGGAAACAATGGGCCTGTTGTTGTTGTTAAGTGCCATCGAGTGGATTCCGACCCATAGTGACCCTGTATACGGTTTCCAAGGAACAGTTGGTGAGCTTGAACCACCGACCCTGCAGTTCAAACAACTTTGTAGTCTGATGCATTAACCCAAAGCACCACACCAGGACTCAAACAAAATAAATGATACCTAGGATTTGCCTTCTGATAAGAAATATATTGTTTCATATAGCATATGAATTTCTGGAGGCTGTCTACAATGGTGATAACCCAAACTATTACCAATAGTATAATTTATAATCATGTTACTGTTTTCTTATAAAGAAGGTATGAAATCACTTTGCAGTCTAGGAACAGAGGTCCCTAGGACCATCAAGGGAGAAGAGTGAAGAGCGGGACCCTACCCAGAGAAGCAGTGACGCGAGAGATGGAGACAGAGATGATGACATGGAGAGATGGAGTGGCTGAGGACTTCAGACCCAAAGAGGGTGAGGGGCTGTGTGCTGACGACTGGAGGACAGGCTTGCAGGGTACACCCTTTGTTGGTTGATAAATCATGGAACGGACTATAACCATGGCAATGAAATGATATACGATAGGATGAATGTAAAGCTAATGTTCTCCCATGTAAACTATCACATGATTCACAAAAAAAACATTAAAAAAAAAAAAGTAAAATAAATAATGAATGTAATTGTACTGCTCATAAATCTGCCTAATAGAGAAAGAAAATTAAAAGTGCTATTTTGACAAAAAAAAAAAAAAAAGATGATATGAAATCAATTTCTAATCTGTCTGGAGTACTGTATTATCCATACTATACAAGTATCCAAGCGTGGTTAACACACACTAACATCCCCATCACCTTGGCTTTATCAGAAAGAATCCAAGAAATCCACAATATATTTTTTAAATGCTGTATACATGTCTGAGCTTTATTTTCATTTTTTACTGCTGGAAAACATTTTTAAAGTGATGTGACAACATGAAAAATTTATAATTCTAATGGCAATCACAGAAAAAAACCTTAATTTTTAAAAAACAAGCATGAATCTGAGGTGTAAAAAAAAAAAAAAAGAAAAGAAAACTGGTGGTGGGAAGTGGAAGGAGGATTAATAATAATCCTTGGGGAAAAGGTAAATTTAAGCAATGAATAGCTATGAAAACAACAAAGCAAGTGAGAGAGAATAAATCTTTGTATATATAGTGGTTCCTAACATCTTGTTAACAGTAAAGCAACCGTTCATTCTTCTGAGCTAGTGATTCTCAACCTTAGCACTAGCTACATTCAGGCCAGATAATTCTTTGTGAGGAAAGTTGTACTTTATATCATTCTACCCACTAAGATATCAAGAGTCCTCTCCCTGTCACCCAAGCACCAGTTGTAACAACCAAAAATGCCTCGACACAGACATTTGTATAAACTTGTTGTTGTTAAGTGCCTTTGAGTCGGTTCCGACCCATAGCAACCCTGTACAGGGACAAAAGTCACACCTAGTTGAGAACCACTGCTCTAACTTTTCAGTTATCAACTGGGGGTGGGGTGGGTAGGTTATCCTACTTTTTCAGAAATTACGTCAAGAGTAAAAAATAACTTTTAAAATCTATTTTAAAAAAGCAACACTGCTTTTTCAGATATAGAAGACACAGTTTTCTAGATACAGAACATAAAACCCAAAGGAATATTAATTCTGGTTTTGCCCAGGTATTTAAAACAGTAGGATCCAAATAAATGGGTATGTTAAAAAATCTAAATTATCAAATAAAGTATCATTTTCCCAACCATATGCATTCATAAAACATAAAAACATTCAAAGCAGGATGAGGTAATAAAATATACAGTGACGTTGGAGACACTGATACTTTAAAAAACATAATCATTTTGAAAATATTAATCTGGTGCTAAATCCATGCCAGGTATTTTTCTAACACTTGATTTATAGATATTATCTTATGGAAAGAAGAGATATACTAATTCAATATCACTATCATAACACGATATGGATGGAATCCTTGTGTGGCGCTGTGGGTCAATGTGCTGGACTGCAAAGTCGGTTTGAACTGCAAGGTCAGTGGTTCAAGCTCACCAGCTACTCCTCGGAAACTCTATATGGGATCACTATGGGTCGGAACTGACTCGACACTTAACAACATCATAACATGGTGTGGCACTGTAGGATAACACGGGATTACTAACCATAAGGAGTCCTGGTGTGGCACTGTGGGTTAAAGCGCCAGACTGCAAAGCCGTTTGCACTGCAAGGTGGCACTTCAAGCTTACCAGCTGCTCATCGGAAACCCTATACAGGGTCGCTATGGGTTGGAATCGACTTGATGGCACTTAACAACAACCAACCATAAGGTCAGCAGTTCAAAAGCACCAGCAGCTCCTTGGAAACCCTCTACAGGGTCATTATGAGTCAGGTTTGACTCAGCACTTAACAACAACAATCAGAACACTACAGGATAATTACTGGACTAACCACAAGGTTGGCAGTTCAAACCCACCAGTGGCTTCAAGTGCATGAGGCATTCTGCTCTGGTAAAGATTTACAGCCTCAGAAACCCTATGTTGCTGTTGGTACAGACTCACAGCGACTCACAATGGGTTTCCAAGGGGTGAGAGGCTGGCAAGTTTGAACTGCCGACCTTGTAGTTAAGCAGTACAGTGCTTATCCTCCAGTGTTATGAGTTAGAACCGACTCATTGGCAGTGAGTCTGGATTTCAGTTTCGATCATAAGTTATAAGGAACCCTGGTGGCACTGGAGAAAATGTTAGGCTGCTACATGCAAGGTCAGCAGTTCAAACCAGCAAGCCATTCTATGGGAAAAAGCTGAGGCTGTCTGCTCCCGTAGAGATTTACAGTCTTGGAAACCCTGGAGAGTCGTCCTACAGGGTGGCTATGAGTCTGAATCGACTTGGCAGGCAGTAGATTTGGCTTTTATTAGTTATCAAGAATTATGAAATAACATAAAATTCTTTGTTGTAACCACAGTGTTAACTATTGTTGCTGTTATTGGTGGTGTTAAGTGCCATCAAGTTGGTTTCGACCCATAGCAACCCTGTGCAAGATTTCCGAGGAGCAGCTGGTGAGCTTGAACCACTGACCTTGTGGCTCAAACTGACTCTGCAGTCCAGCGCATTAACCCAGCGTACCACAACAGAACAAGTATTAGTGCCAACATAATAATTACAAGAAGCTGTACTAACTTTAGGGTAAAAAGGGTAAGTTATTGTCATTGAAAACTTAGTGGAGTTCTTACCTGATTCCTAAATGCCTACCTTCTAAATAATGACGTTTAGAAAACAAAAGTATATTCAGCAAGACCCCAAACCCAAACATAATGGAGAAAAGGAAGAAAGGTCTGATTATATAAAATAAAAATCCAAATGCAGAGTTATATAAGCTAAGCATTGGACTAACTTAATTAAAACAAGAGCCTTCATTTTAAACCATATGTTGTGCAAGCCACCACCACTATCCAATTTCAGAATACTTCCATCATCTTCCAAAGAAACCTATTATTGTCCAATCCTCTCCCCGATCCCTGACAACCACTAATCTTACTATTGAATCCTTTCCCCCATCCCCTGACAACCACTAACTTGACAGATTTGCCTATTCTGGTATTTCATATAAATGGAGTCATATCATGTTATCTTTTGTGTCTGGCTTCTTTCACTTGGCATGTTTTCATGCTACATCCACGAAGCAATAATTAACAATACTTCATTGTTTTGTTTTATTTTGATGGTGGAATAACATTTTTTGTAGCCATTAAGTGAAGCATTTAAATTACTGTGCTAACATGTCACCTGAAACATTTTCAGCCATTCTTGGAGGCCTGTAGGTGGTTGGACAGATGTAATTCGGCGTCGTTGTTGCCCTTGGCCATTGGCTGCTCTCAGGTCCCCAAAAGTTGTTGGTGTTGCTGAACATGGTACAAGCCCAGTGGTACTACAAAAACACAAGAGGGGAAGTAAAGAGAAATATTTATTAAGAACAAGAGGTTTCAATTTCATAAAGAAAATGATGATCAGGCATATTTCAAACATCAATCCAATTACATGATTTCTATTTGCTTACTCCAACAAGCAGGGGTATACAAAACCTATTTTGCTATTCTTAGAGTTAGTTTCCTTACTCCCACATAACCACCTGTTTTTATCCCAGCAATGCTAACTGTAACCAAATGACAGAATCTCCATGGAAAAATTGCATGTCATTAGTATATAAAAGTAATGTTAAAATATCCCTTAGATCATACAGGTCTCACTTATCCTATAACTGGTCTTCAGTGACACAATTAAATCAAAGTTTAAATTTTCTTTATAAAAAGGAGTAGAAAACATAATGCTGTCAAAAACTACAAGACATGGAAATAGTATGTTCAAATGCTTTGGACTTCACTGTTGACATTATTTCTGAAGTTAGCCCCCAGAAGCTTTCTAAACGGTTTCTCATATTTATCTAGTGATCTCCAATGTTCTGTTATCGATACAGCCTGTTGTTGTTAAAAGCCGTCGATTCAGTTCATAGCAACCTTGTATAGTGTTTCTGAGGAGCTGCTAGTGGGCATGAACTGCCACCTTTGTGGCTCAAATCGACCTTGTGATCCAGTGTTATCCTACAGCACCACAGTTCAGATGATATTTGACAGGTGGAACTTTAATTTAAAATGCTGCACTTATTCAAAACAGGTAAGTCTTCAGAACTTACATGCAAAATACAATAAAAAGCAATCAATTAAACATTTTCATTCAGGAATTTAAATTTTGAGAGATAAACAAAAACCAACCCAATAATTTAATTCTGCCACTAGTAAAATGCAGAAATAAGAGACTAGATGATTCATCTCTAGAACATGTAAATCTCCTAAAAAAGAACAATGGATAGCAGAAAGATTACAGTTATAATTATGTTACGAATAATCTTTTGAGCATCCTCATGTGGTGTTGGACTATTCATCGTAAGATCTACAGTTCAAACCCATCAGCCTCTCCTAGGAAAGCCTACAGAGAGCCACTATAAGTAGAAACCAACTTGACAACACGTAACAACAATCTTCTAATTGAATTATTTAACGTCAAAGTAAATACCTAACATACCTGCTATACAGACACCTGAACAGAGCAGGAAAGCTTGGTAGGAAAATTATATCTGTAACGTAATCCTTATCATGGAGATATGATAACAATATACGTAAATTATCATAGGTGATTTTCAAGCTTTAAAAGAGCTCCCCTGATTTTTTCAATCTAGCTCACCTCTCTATTTTGCTAAAAATATGTATCTGCATATCAGACGAAAAAAATTCAACTTCAACCCTTTTAAATCGTTTTCACATTATACTTAAATCATCTCTAAAACTGAACAATTTAATCTTTTTTTTTTCTCTCAAATTTCAAAGGTAAGTTCTATTTTCTTCTTCTCTGAAATGAAGTAAGATAAATTTTCTTAATTTAAAGCTGGAAAATCATACTTTTATCTTACTAGAAAATTTGTCCTTAAATATTACAAAATAGTAAATATGTATCTTCTTGTTGTTAGGTGTCATTGTAGTAGTTCTGACTCCTAGTGACCCTAAGGAAAACAGAACAGAAACACTGTCTGGTCCTGAACCATTCTTCTAATAGTTGCTGTGTTTGAGCACACTGTTGCAGCTACTGTGCCAATCTATCTTCTTGGGGGTCTTCCCTTTTTGGCTTATTCTCTACCAAATACGATGATGTCCTTCTCTCTCCAGGGACTGGTCTGTCCCTCCTGATAACATATCCATCTTAGTAACTGACAGAAACAAGCAAAATAAATGGAAATAAGTATGTTGTTTGGTTTAATTTTGTTTTAGCAAGATTACAAGTTAAAACACTAAAATTAAACTTCTATTTTCTCAGTGCCTTTCTTGATACAAAAAAGTGAGCAACTAGAGAAAAATTTTAATAAAATCAGTCCTTTATAAGCTGCCTTAAAAAATAATTTATTAAATTTATACCTTTGTCCTAGTATCAACCATTAATTAACAGAAGATCAAAATTATATGGTTGACTAGAATGTATGCATTAAACAAATAGATTAACATTAAATTAAACTTCCTCATCCAAGAAATACTTCATCAAGGTCGGAAGGAAAATTCTAAGTGAGAAGATTTACTTGTCTCTCTATCACTCCACACCCTCTGGTGGAAGCATCAAAATACAGTGAAATTACCAAAAGGAAAAAGGCGTTAAGAAGGAGAACGGTTAACATCGGCAAATCACACAGAAAAAAGCATTTGCTGAAAAAAAAAAAACCCCTGAGCAATCCTTTTATTTTGCCTTGTGTATCATCTCTGTACATTTTGCATGCAAAAACTATTATGATTTCTAAATTTCATAAGAGACTTTGAAAAAAAAATTTTTCTATAACTGAATGAAATAAAAAGAAATCGTGTCCCTGAAAGGTAGAGGTGCAATCTGTAACAATGTTCAATCAAAAAAATTATGTCTGAGAAATTCATTTCTCTCCATCATATAGAATAAAATAACTCTAAATCAGAATACTTTGGCAAAAAAGAGAAATGTCACAATCACGAAATTCTAATGGTTTCTACTGCTAACTTCCAATTACTTATTTGAAAAAGTAAAAATTATATTAAAAAAGGGGGAGGGAAGGACCCCTCAAAATACTTTTGTCATTTAAATTTTAAAATATTGAACTCCAAGTGACATCCAGAGCCATTTTTAATTAGCTGAGTAATAGATATTGTGCCTAAGTTAGCTAATTAGTGTGAGTGGGAAAAGTTTTATACTGTTGCAAAATCCAAAAATGATGGAATGAAGCAGAAAACAAGACCACAATTGTATCTAGTTGTTATGGAAACTATCGTCCTTGTATAGAAATGTATGTGTTAAAAACATAAGATCTACCAACCAAATAAAAGGGACTTTCTAAAACAGTAATTTCATGAAATAAGATTTGGTTAGCAAATGTGAGATTTACTTCATTGCTAGTAAATGCATCTTCAATTTTGCATATATAAATATCTACCCCAGAACAGAGTTGCTATAGTAACAAGACATATTTGCTCATATTCACATTTTTAGGATTCCTTAAATATTGCATTTTAAAAATTTTGTTCATGAGAAAACTTCTGCTTGTTTCTTACTTCCATGTATTAGCAAAATATAATGTCATAGTGGTAGTCCTTCCTTCCCCCAATTTAAAATTATGCATTTCTCAATTTCCAAAGATCTCAAATGTATTGAACAGTCAACAGAACTAGCAACATTATTATTCTATGAGGATAAACCGAAAGAAAAACTTTCAGAATCATCAACTCTTTAAAGAAGCATGAGAGGAATGAGAAAATCAATGGTGACATTTAATATTACCTTGTATATTCTGAGACTTTGCATGGTTTCTTTCCCAAAGAAAAAGAACGAACCTCAGAACCATGGTCCAACTTTCTTTTCATCTATAAAGTAAGACAAATAAGATGTTTAAAATAAAAATCACCTGTCCAACTATCAATTTTTTAGTTAACACTGATAATATTGAAAAATAAAAAAACACTTACATTTTGATATGCCTCTCATGTCAATTAGGCATAGTTAGTTACTACAGAGAATAAATGTCTCATAGTCTCTCCTATTAGTTCTACTTTGTTTTACTTTCAACAAGATTGGAAAGGTGCATTTCCCTTTAATAGCCTGTTCAGAAGAACAGTGCATAGTGATTTTTAAACTGGTATTCACCATTATCTTCCTTGAGAATGATAATGTACCTTTGTTTTTTACTTTAATTACCAACAGAGGAAAACCTCAAGTTAATCCACACAGTGAAGAACCATATTCAATATACCTTCTCTACTGATCTTCATTTTCTTTTAAAAATATATTTAATGGGAGATAAAATAAACATAAAAATTTCAAAATCAGAAATAAAAAATAAAGTGGTAATACCTGAACTTCAAGCGTATTCTTATAAAAGGGCAGAGAGAACATATATAGATTTTGAGAGAGTATAATGAAACTGGAGTGGGGGGCAACACTTGACATATGCATAGACTGACTATAGCTCTACTAACTGATATTCGACAAAATATTCTAACTTGAAAAGCAACAACAAAAGATCTCAAAAGAACAAATTATGCCTAGGGCATATCTAACAATCACAATTTTTAAGGCGTTTCATTATGGAATGGTATCCTATAAATATATTCAGAATTGCATTTTTTCAATATCAGTATTGAAATTTTTATTTTTACAATTTACATTAACTGAGGTTATCTGACTATATTTTTTAAAACTAGAAAATGAGATCTTATAAAATTCAATGTTTTCTATCTCAACAATCTCTCCCAGATTTGTCCCTGCTAATTAATTTCTGTAAGCTATGGGGGGGAAAAACCAGAGTGATAGATAGCTATTCCCATTTTTATAAGGTGAAAACCCTTGCTTCGCAATAGTCTTATTTTCTTTCCTATTGCTTCACATGGAACACCATAGGACAGCATGCTACAATATAAACACTGAGGGGGAACACTAAAGAGACTCCAAAACTCTTTTTGATCCACATTGCGGATAACAACTATGTTTTTATTTTCCAGCCGAAAGTTTTCCAATATATAAAGATAACTAGAGGTAAAGGTATGACCAACTCATCCACAAATTACACCTTTAGTTCATGAACTACCTACTAGAAATAGTATAATTATTTAATTCCTTCAAAAGTTTCCATATTTATTAAATTATTTTAAACTGCCTTCCCTCAAAAATGATTTTTTTGTCTCCTTAAATAATTCAAATAAAAAAATAAATAGAAAGCTGAAACCCATAGGTAGCACGTGCTTGTATGCATATACCTCTCCCCCATCTATATCCAAATAAAAGCTATTAGGAATGTCAGTCAGTATCAATTATGCTAAACATCTAATTTTTTATAATCTCCCCAAATTACTTGTATTTTTATAATTATTATGAGAAACCTTAATATTCATTTTAATTAAGTTAGTAACACTGGCTTTCAGAACTTCCAAGGATATCTTGTAAATACATTGGTGCAAATGCCATTTGCCACTAAAGGCAAACTTTATTTCCATCTTAGAAATCCTTCAATAAGTAAGAATGAAGGATCTGACTAATATGCATATGTATATTTAAAAATCATTGAAAAAGCTTATTTTTAATATATTTTCTAAAACAAAGTATGATCTGTATGACTATAGAAGCCTTTTAAATGTTATACTGGTTACTGAAAATACTGACTTTAGATGCAAAAATTAATTCTGCAATATTTGAGGGGCACAGAAAGTAAATATGATCTCTTCAAACATAAAATTCCAAATATTCCAGTAATTCTATACTTTCATAAGAGTCAACTAAAGAAAAAACAATATATATAAAAGGTATGGAAAAATCGAAGGCAAAAAGGTTCACTAAAAGCCAACTAAGGGTAGAGTATTTCCAGGTCAGCATTTAACGGAGCCACATTTCTAAAGTCTGAACACATTTCTAGTGAAAATTCTCAGATTAAAATGTATGTTTTAAACCTTTTACAGCTCATATTGTCTTGCCCTATTTGCTTACACTCACAATTTAAAACAGAGTATCAGACATCCAACCACCCACCAAAATTAGAGGATACTGCAGCCATCTCTGATGATACAGATTTTCCTTCTCAGGCAGGCACACACACACAATCACACAACACAGGAAGAAAACAGCTTACTTACTTTGTAAAAAATCATTTTTAATGTGCCGTAGAAACCCATGTTTTCTGTATTTTTCCCCTTCAGTGATTCTGTGCCCCCGTGTGTCCGGCTGCTTGGCAGTCTCTGACAATATAAACCTTTTTCAGGTAGGTATGTCACAGATTCTAATGTGGACATGCTCAGGCACGTCAGAAAAGGAAGACTAGGAAGCAGAACCGGCAACAAAACTCCACAGTAAAGGCGAATGCAGCTCAGTATCAAACCGCTTCCCGGGCGGGACACACATACATACATGCAGCTTGACTGAGGAGAACTCGAGGGAATAATGAGAGAGAACCAAGAAGATTATTGGAGGAGACTCTGCCCTGTCAAAGCCTTGACTGAACAGATTCCTCCCTCAGCAGCAGAGGGATCAGATTACATCTTCCCTTGAACACAGAATGGTGCAGTCCAGGATTCAGCAATGCAGGCTGCACATCAATTATATGGTGATCCGCTCCAGGGAAGCCGTAAGCATCCAGTGCACTGAACAGAGGGAGGATGTGGGCAGCAAAAGAGACCGCCCCCACACAACAGCCCCCACCCCCCTTTCAAACTTTTAGGAGATTATTTTTGCATTTTGTAAAACCTGCATTCTGAAGAGTTTTAAATAGGAAGCAGCATTTCTACAAATAAATCCTTTCAGAAACATTTTTTAAATGGTGTTATTTTTACATACGTGCTCCTATCAGAGAAAAAGTAGGCTATTGCCACTAACTGTCATCCTATTACAGTTCTGGCACAGATCAGGTTTTTCAAGTAGCCTTTATCATACAAAATGGGCAATCCCCAAACCAGAAATTAAATATATGTGGACTGGCAATAAAGTAAGCTGGTTGCATGTACAGAAATCATGTAATATTTCAACCTGTACATTTCTTATATTGCTGTTGTTTAGTACCATGAGTTGGTTCTGACTCATAGCAACCCTATATAGGGTTTCCAAGGAGCGGCTAGTGAGTTTGAAACACCAACCCTGAAGTCCAGTGCTTATCCTACAGTGCTATGTATTACTTTTAATGTTGTTGTTAAGTGCTGTCATTTAAGTTCCAACTCACAGAGACCATGTATAGGGTTTCCGAGGAGCGACTGGTGAGTTTGACCTGCCAACCTTGTGGTTCAAATCAACCTTGTGATTGAGTGTTTACAATAAAAACATTCTCTATAGTGTTTCATTTCATTCACTTTAAACATAATTTTCAAAATGCACACTCCATAAATCTTTAGTACTAACGATAATGACTTCTTTTGTATAAATTTTGACTAAACAGTGTCACTTTCTCCAACGGGAGCAAATACTGTGCTAACTGGAAGGTCTTACCATTATTTGTTAATCTAACATTGAGTAAATCAAAGGGCACTGAGACTGGACTTCTACCTCCAACATTAATCTAACAATTTGTATTGATAATCATTAAAAAGGCATTTTACATAATAATATAGGAAACAAAATTTGCCTGAAGGCAACTTTTTCCTTAGAATGATTACTTCACAAATCTAAGTATTTCATCTTGCAACTTGCTACACAACTAGCTTCAGAGGCAATTATAAGATTCTTTGGACTAGAAAGGCCCATTATTAAGGGTCGAGTTAATTAACTCCCACCCTCCCCATTAATGTCCTTTATTAGAAGAGAATGTATGCCCATAGTTATTCAGAGCATTAGCAAGTTTCTTAAAAAAATAAACAAACTTTTTGGATGATTATATTTTAATATTATCTCTTGTCATGGTGGTAAATTCACTTTCTTTAGGAAAACAGTTTTGAATACTGTATAAACTAGTATTACAATTGAAAATAAAAATGTTTACCTTTATAACTAACACACTTAGACAATGTAATGTCTTTTATTATAAAACTAAATCAAAATGAGAAAATCTAAAATTTTATGAAGATGCACATCTTGGGCCTTCTTCTGGAAATTATGTATGTTACTGTCTATTATCTTTTAAAACCCTCCTAACCTGGCCCTTAATTTTTATCCTCAGAAACAATATGTACAAGTACATGGTAGAAGCTAGTTTCAAAGGAAAAATCACTTAAAAGTAAAAATCCTTAATTACAGCAAAAAACAAAAAAAAAACCAACTGTTAGGAATGGGCCCATAAGGCCTTTTTGGAGGCTTCAAAAACACTCCTGATTTAAAAAACAAAACAAATTTTCCCCTGCTCGGGGCTATCAGAAGAAAATATTTCTGAAAATTATATGAGATTTCGTCCAGAATTTGTCCACGGTAATTAGCTTTCCATAAGATAAATGGGAAGTGTTCTAACAGTATAATCTTTGCCTTAAATGGGAATCATATAGTACCTAGAGTTGAACTAGACTTTTCAAATGAAATCTACTCAACTGAGAACACAGATCAATTTTAATAAATCATGGGACATGGTCTCAAATCATGGGATAGTTAAGAGGAAAAAAAAAAAAACCCAGTAACTTAGTTTTATTTAAAAAAAAAAACAAAAAAAACTCTCATGGATACATGAAGTTACAAGAAAACCTGTTCTCTACATATTTATGTTTACATGTAGGTATGTTCAGGGGTGGCTCTGTAGCATAAGCACTGGATTGCTAATCAAAAGATTGGTTGTTCAAACCCACCAGCTGGTCCTTAGAAACCCTGTAAGGGTCACTATGCGTCAGACCTGACTCAACAGCACTTAAGAACACCATGTATATTTCATGTTTTATTTCTGAATAGATAAAACATGAGCAGAGCTTAA